ACGCTCACACACACACATGCTCACAGACGCTCACACACACATGCTCACACGCTCACACACAGATGCTCACACGCTCACACACACACATGCTCACACGCTCACACACATGCTCACACGCTCACACACACACATGCTCACACGCTCACACACAGATGCTCACACATGCTCACACACACACATGCTCACACGCTCACACACACACATGCTCACACGCTCACACACACACATGAACACACACCCTCTAACAGTCCCCAGGCCGTACCCTGGTTCTCTTGAGCCTTTGCTCCTGTCCCTGCCCACCTTTGCTCATCAAAACGTCCCATCCGTGTTCCATTCCCTTTGGGTCTTTCGGGAGCCTGGAGCACATCTGAACCAAGCAGCTTTGAAGGCAGCCGTGGCAGATAATGATATAACGTTTACGCTCTCTGGGAGGCCCACATTGAAGTAGGGGTCTTCATGTCAATCCCAGGGCAAGGGCAATACATGTAAGAAATTACCCATGTACAGGACACGTGTGCATGTCTGTCTCCTGGAGACCCCTGAGCTGAGCGTCATGGCAGATCAGTACGGGCGCCCTTTGACACTCCTTCCTCGTTGGCCCTCCCTCAAAATCACATAAAATGATTGGCTTTGCTTGTAGACAAGGAAGGCAGCAAGAAACGCTGTACAAAAATGCTGATTTGGAAGCTACTTGATAACACTTACACAGTGTTTCATAGTCTACAATGGCACTTCCAATTCACTATCACATTTCGTCTTCATAGCCCTTGAAACAGGTCCCAAAGAAGGGAAGACTCTCATCACATAATTAGTTGGAGAGGTATTTGCATTGCATCTTTTTATTCCCCTTAAAAAATTTTTAAGTTAAAAATTAAAAAAACAACATGAAAATGGTTGCTTGAGTCACTGATCCTATTATGTCTGAGGTTGTTTTCATGACTGAATTCTTGACATTTACTCCCACTTCTCTCTTCCTTCTCCCTCTCCCAGGATTATGGTGGGTACCTGAGCACTTACCTCCTCCCGGCGAAGACTGAAAACCAAGGTCAGATTTTCGCCTGTGGCTCTGCCCTCTCTCCAATAACAGACTTCAAGCTCTACGGTAATGGCTTTGACAAAGCACTGGGCCCCAGCATGGCCCCACTGCCCTCCCCTTCGGCACTGCATTCCACCTGCCTCCCTCCCTTCTGGCACCCAGAGTCGATGATAAACTACCACGGGGTTGTGTGGCTAACCGGTGACACGTCATAGAGAGAACCTGGGGAAGGAGAGGGGAGGGTTTCAAGTCACTTGTTTGGATGAAAGTGGTCAATCCACTGATATCTGTAAGTCACATCCCCAACACACAAGACCAGGGCTAAAACAACTAGTGGTTCCGCTTACAGTAGCAGGAGTTGGAAAACCCTCCCCTGCGAGCAGAAGGGAAGGAGGTGTGCTGCAGTCCCCCAAGGCTGCCAGAACCTGGCAGGGGCCCTTCACTGGGTCTGTGTCTGGGGCCTGGGGGTGTTTGGTGGGCAGGGCTTAAGTGAGAAGGGATGGGGAGCGACTTGGTGGGAACTGGGGGATCTGATGGCTCAGCTCTGCTCTGCGCTCTGCCTATCTTCCTCCCTGGCCAGCACCATTCCTTGGAGGGAGCGGCTTTCTCATGGACAGGAGCCAGAGATGGGGGACGAGGTGTCAGGATGACTTGCTGCAGGGACCAGATGGAGATCAGACCTCCCAGGCGTGGGAACTAGACCTCTGCCCGGGCACAGACGTGGCTCTATTGTCACTTTTGGGGGTTCAAGGCTCTCTACCTTCTCCTCCCTCTGGTCAGCCAGCCCCTTTTCTCTGAATGTGAATGGCTCTGTGACACTAACCTCTTTTTTAAATGTGCAGAGCGGTCTTTTATGTGGGTTCTGAGAACTCACACTCAGGTAAGGGCCACAGGGAGGCTGGGCTGTTCACCCCACTGCCCCACAAGAGCAAGGCTGACTAGTGGGACAGGAAACCCAGATGGCTTCTTGTCACTGGTCTGCGGGAGCTGTGCTGGAGGCCTGTGTTCCCTCTGGTTCAGAGGACAAGTCCTGCCTCCCTGGCTGCACCCTCCCACATGCCCCATCTCAGCACCAGTGGACCCCATGGAGCGATCCAGGGACCACGGTGGGGTCCAGCAGCCCACTGGTTCCTGCAGCCAAAGGGCTCAAAACAGATGTGCTAATCTTTACAAAGAGCTCTAATGCAAATTTCAACTTATAATCATATAAGAACTCTCCTAAGTGAAAATTTTAACAATTAAAATTAATTTTCCAATGGGAATACATGTAGCATATTTCATATTTTTCAAACTCAGTGAGACTTTCTTAATTTTTTTAATCATGCTATTTCAAATTTGCCTGATTTGAATGCACATAAATGCTACCATCCCCACACTTGGCTTTGTCACAGTGCCCAAGAGGGAAATCCTCCACATTGTCTCTTCCACTTAACTACAGATTCCCTGAAACCTGTGGAAGCTGTTTGGAGCTCTTTCCATCCTGACTTTCCTGACAGGGCAGCCCCCGGGTCCTCATCCAGAACCTGGACCTGGAGCCAGGGTTTGGGATAGAACAACGACATGCTTAGACTTTTTAAAAAATAAGTAAATCCTGATGCAAATTTGCTCTCTAGTATTTGTTCCCTTTTCCTATATGTTGAAACGAAGTGAGGGGTATCCTGTTTATTTAGGATTTAGATTTATTAGGTTTTGCTTAATTAAGGTTTTGCTGTACTGCTACAAACCCAACCAACCACCAACACTAATAATTTAAATGTCACTATGGTACTCTCGGATTACCTGTGTAAGGGCCCAAGACGTTGAGACAGTTTTTTAAAAACAAACCTTTTCCGTGCGAGTGGAAGTGAGCCCACCTTCCAGGCCTCCAGCCCCGTGCCAAGGGCGTCTGCAGAGTCCAGGGAGCTCTGCACCGACCACGGTAACCCTCCCTCCCTCTGCTTGTGTCCAGCATCTGCATTTTCCGAGAGGTACTTGGGCCTCCATGGACTTGACAACAGAGCGTATGAGGTACGTTTGGGCACAACTGGGGAATTGGATGACATCTGCCAATCTCTTCCCCCAATTCCTCTCTCCCACCCTCCAACCCCCAGCCCAGCTCTAACCCACCCTCCCTTCCCAGGGCCACCCTCTCTCCCTCTCCACCACCAAGCCCACTCTAAGAAAAGCTTTGGATCCATCCTTCCACCATATGTGAACTGAGGTGACTGTGACCTCTCTCGGATCAGGCTGATTTCCCATCCTAGAACTTGAGGGACGAGGAAGAGAGTTGAGAAAGCTTTGGATGGAGGTGCCTGTGCCAGGGTCCATAGACGTTGGGTGTGGATGACTGCTGGCTCCCCACTACCCAAGGCTGGCTCTACTTTGGGAGAATAAGCCATTGATGGGGAAACGGAAAACCCCTCTGATACCACCGACTAGGTCAGAGCCCGTCAGTTGAGTCAGTGTGGAAGTCACACAGTATTTCTTCAGCTGGGCGCAGTGAGGAGGCCAGAGTTCTGCAGGGCAGGACTGTGGCTTCAAAGTCAAAACTTTGGCAAGGGCAGCAGAACTGTGTGGCCAGAACATCATCTCCCAGCAGCACCAGGTGACGTGATGGCCCTCGGAGGCTACCTGCAGCGAGAGGAACTCTTTTTCCTCTTCTCCCTTCTTCTCTCCCACCCCTTCCCTTCCTAGTAGGAGTTACTGTAAGGGAGAGCCGAGACTGCCGAGATGTGCTGTGCATTCATGGCAGGTATAAACCGTCCCAGTTCTCCCGGAACTTCCTGTTTGCAAAACACTGCACCCACCTTCTCAGTCAGGTTTCCAGTAAGAAGACCTTGCTCTGCACATGGCCTGCTAACTCTCTCCCCTTGCCCCTGCCCGCGCAGATGACCAAGGTGGCCCACCGAGTGTCAGCGCTGGAGGAACAGCAGTTTCTGATCATTCACGCAACCGCCGATGGTGAGGACTAAGGGCATCCATTCACCACGTGTCTGCTGAAAGGTTCACCCTTGCTGGTGTTATGGGTTTTGACAAACACTTTCCTCTTTTTTTTTTAACAGAAAAAATCCATTTCCAGCACACCGCAGAACTCATCACACAGCTAATTAAGGGAAAGGCTAATTACAGCTTACAGGTACGGTATATGCCCGTGCGCTCTGTTTCGCACTTGGAGAGAGACAGTCCTTTCATGGAGAAGGCGCTGACCGTGTTCAGTACACCCCATCTCCGCAGCACACCTGTGTGACGGCTATGGGAGATGGGTGGGGGCACGTTGGATCAGACAAATTAGCACATGCTTACTTCTACGAATTAGCGATAGCTCGGTTCTGCACTTGGGCTGTGTTTAAACCCCTTTGGAGCTCCACCACCACCACCCACTCCCACCTCCACTCCGAGCAATGAGCAAGACCACGCCAGCCACCACACCACCCTACAGTGAGGTGCTGGTGTCCTTGGCGTGTGAAGATGGGGCTCTGGTCCCAGTGCTGGTGAGAGTGGTGTTAGTGGGTCCTGAGCTCCTCTCACTAACCTCCTCCTGGACACCACCACACATTTACAGATACTGGCAGGATGGTCCAGAATCATCTGTGGCTGAACAGTAGTTAGAGAGAACTACCCTTCCTGAGAACCAAACTCACGCCCTCGTCCTTGTTGACATCAGTACTGACTCAACAGCTCAAGTCTAGGCTCCTTGCAGTGATGCACAATGCTGCTTCTGGAAACTTCTTCCATTTCCTTCCTGACCTCTGGTTTCTTTGGTAAAACAGTTATGACTCTGATGGTTATTTGAGGTCCAGAGATAAGTGAGAGATTTCCTCAGCCAAGCACACTGTCTCCCTCAGAGAGCACCAGCCCTGGACTGACCACGGCCTGCCTCTGTCTCCCAGCTCCTGGCCTTCCTGCATCACTGTCTTGCAGAGGGTCATGTGTGGCCTGGGCCCATCAGGGAGAGCTTCCTGCAAAGAAGGGAGTTTGGCTCAGGTGTTGATGAATAGGGCAGGAAGGATGGAGTTAATGTTACATTTGAGCTTCCCTCTGAAAATGTTTGGATCATAGTAAGCTTGACAGCTGTCATGGCATTGTGAAATACATTTGGCACACACGGTGCAGCTGTGGCAGGTGAAAAGGTAGCTCTCTGTGTGCTAACATGGACCACTCCCCAAGACGTAGGCTAAGTTAAATCAGCAAGGCGCACAGCGACTGCTTCAACGGATACTCAATGAGTTTGTCACAATGATCAACTCCAGATCAGGGCACCGGGGGAGGGACCCCGGGCAGGAGGAGATGTACTTCCTGCTCTATATCCTTTTGTACTCTTTGGTGTTTAATGTACATGTACTAACTCAATGATATCATTAATAAACACTCTTAAAGTGAGTCCCATCTTCCAAAGACGTAAAAGGAAGACAGAGGTCAAAATGCAGGTGGCAGCCTGGTGTCACGGAAAGAACATGGGCTTCCAGGTCATTAGACTTGGCTTGGAACCCCTGCTGGGATAGGTCCCTTTGTGTGGAAATAGCGCAGCACCCCTAGGGTACAGGGGGTGTCATTACATTTGGTAATAGAGTATTTAGCTACCATCTTTTTAGCACTGCCTATGTCCCAAGCCTTGTTCTAAGTGATTTATAGGTATTATAATATCATTTAATTCTCACAAAACTTCATGAGCTAGATTCTATGATGATGATCATCTCCACTTGACACAACTGGAAACTGAGGCCCAGGAAAGTTACCTGTCCACGGCCACACCAGGGAGCCAAACACAGGTGACGAGGCCCCAGAGAAACACATCTACAGGATTCGGCATGTGAGCGGGCAGTTTCCCACACTCATGAGGGTTATAGAGATAGTGCAGAATATTTTCCATTTTAGGGGGGAGTCCTGATCCCTGGAGACTTGGGCTGTGTGGTCCCCGAGCGTGTATCTGTGCTGCAGATTCAAACAAACGGATTGAGACTGTGCAGAGGCTGTTGAACAAAGTGTTTTTTAGTTTAGTCAATCGATTCTCTGAGTGCCCACTGCGCCTGGCAAAGCCTCCAGGAGAAAAAGGCACTCATGCCAGCACTGAAATGGTTCAGGAAATGCATTTCACAGGTTACATTCTGACCCGCGTTGGCCCGGGCCGTGGTGGGCTCCATGTCTTAGGTGCAGCCCAGTCCCACTGGTTGAATTCTGACCTTTGTGGGCCTGGATGTGGTGGGCTCCCTATCTCACGTGCATCCCATCCCATTGGTTGAATTCTGCATTCTGGCCATGGTGGGCTCCCTATCTCACGTGCATCCCAGTCCCACTGGTTGAATTCTGACCTGTGTGGGCCTAGGCCATGGTGGGCTCCATATCTCGTGTGCACCCCCGGTCCCACCAGGAGGGCCAACTGGGGTACCTGACTCCTCTGTGCCTTCCTTGCAGATTTACCCAGACGAAAGCCATTACTTTAGCAGCACCTCCCTCAAACAGCACCTCTACCGCTCCATCATCAACTTCTTCGTGGAATGCTTCAGGATCCAGGACAAACTCCCAACAGCCACAGCAAAAGAGGAGGAGGAGGAGGACTGACCACGAGCCGGCCCTAAGCACAACGTAGCTCTTCCTAGAACGGTGTACCACTGGAAACCCCTGCCTCCCTCTCCCGCAGAGGGCTGGGGTGGGGGCACAAAGTGTTATCATTCCATAGCATGTGTGTCTCGGGTCCTGAAGGCAGTTCTGCTTCCAAAACAAGCTCCTTCCCGGGTGGAGATGTGTCGTCGCTCACGAGGGCTTCCGCGGAGCCTGGAACCATCGCAGCATCGCCGCCCCCTGGCCCCAGAGTGACTAGTGCATCCCACGGCCCCTCCCCAAGGAACAGCGTGAAGGATGGACGGCAGTGAAGAAACTGGCCCTTAAATTCAAGCTGTTGAGCAGTAGCATTAAGACCCACCCTCTGGTAGAGGGCCACGTCCACATTAGCAGCATCGCATCCTGTCTGATATAACCACGCCATGGAACAACTATAGCACAATTATTTTAACAGTACTTGTTCATAGATCGGCTTGCTCCTTTCTGTAATTAGGAGATTCCACATTTAAGGGGCTGTACAAAATGTTACTGTAACTCTGCTAATGGTTAACCTTATGGAATTAATTCGTATTTTTCTATGGTTTTTACCTGACACTGTCTCTGGTCATGGGGTTGTTTGCTGTGCTGTTTTTTCCTTTGTTTTGCTTTGTTTTCTTCAGTCAATGTGCAGGCTTTGCTCTTGTTTGAATGAAGAAACAGATCAGAAGTAACTAACCGCTCTCTCCTCAAGGTGGTCTTCAGACTCTGCGGAGACAATTCAAAACACTGAGGGGAAGAAACATCCAATACGAATCACTAAAAAAAAAATCCTAAATAAAACCTCTCTCCCACCCAGCTGCATCAGGGTTTGGCTTAGATTCGCATTGTCCGTTTACATATGTCCTTCAACCCATCCTCTTCCTCCTTGATGAGTTGTCAAGTCTTTCAGATGATGTTTGGTTACAAAACATAAAAAGACAAAGCGTTGACTCCACCCCCAGGTCTGTCACACGTGCTTGGGTGACAGGAAGCCTTGAGGAAAGTGTGGGCATGTGCCGGCGTCGCCTCCCGTCCTGGCGATGGCTCGGTGCCCTCCCTGCCACGTGCAGGTGGCCACGTCAATGCTCCACACTAGCCTGTAAGAGTCCCTCTGACTGAATGTGCAGTGGCGTCCCTAGTGTCTATTTCCTTCTGTTGTACGTAAGGACAGGAATGTGAGTCAGGCACGGTGCCGCTGTCCCCGCCCACCTCCCCCCCCCCCCCCCCACCGTTCCATTTGCATGCCGACACTCTGGCTGATCTGTGCTCTCCGGCAGTGCTAGTTCAAAATATATCGATTACCATCTTTTCCTCTGGAGCTTGTTGACAACCTGAATGTCGGTACTGATTTCTCCAGCTTCCGGTCCTGCTGGGGGCTCCTTGACGTCTTGTCAGCAGAGAAGATACGTCCGTGTCTCTTTTTGGGATTTGGGGGTTTTGGTTTCATCCACACGAGTTTTGAACGTCCGTTGTAGTTAGTTTGCTCAGAAGATCTCCATCACAGGATTTCTTTAGGGTGATCCGTCCCCGTTGGTGAGAAGGATCAACGTGCTGACCCACAGGACCACTCTGAATGCTACTTGATCATGCTTCTGCTATTTCAGTGGCCTTGACTGACTGCAAAGCCAGCTAGGTCTGAGGGGAAGCCAGCTCTGGCCACAGTCTGTAGGAGGGAAGTGAGAATGTGGCATGGTAGTGTTTGTTCATCCATGGAATAAAACATTATTTTACCACTCGGATAGCTCTTTTCTTGCTTATCCTCCACCATCTCGGCTTAGAGAGGGTGTGAAACTTCAAGAATTTTTTTTAAAGCCCTCACTGGGCCCTAAGCAAGATTGATGCATGTCCTCAAGAGCCTGGTGTGCATCAGATAAAACCTGCATCCATGGTAGCAGCAGGATTGATGGTAAGAAGGATAGGACCGATCAAATATATCAAAGTCCCAATCAATCAGAGAAAATGGGTCTGAGTTGCATCTTGAAAGCTTTAGAGTGAAGACATGGAGATATTCCTACACTAAGAGGAAACTGGCTTTCAGCTGAGGTCATAGCATTGCCCCCTAGAACACTTTAGAAAAACCTCCATTTGCTGGAAATTCATTCATTGATTTGTTGTTGTTGTTAATTCAGTAAGTCTAGTATAAACGTAGCCCAGCCTGAAAGCAGAGGCATTGATCAAGTAAACCCTTCCAAACCCCTGCACAACTGCTGCCTCAGAGAAGCTAGAGTTTAGTCCAGTCACCCCAGCTGAGTCAGCTGAATCTTGTCACCATCTTGACCAAGAGTCAAGAACAGAAGGAGATAAAACAAAATAAGCCAGAAGCAGCAGAGGCCATCCAGGCTTGACCTGCCCACGTCCCCGACCCAGCGTCACCGTGGGCCCTCTTGCGGCTCCACCAGGAGGGAAGTCAGTGCCTGTACCCACCTCCCATCGTGGGGTCCACTCCTCCTGGAGCGGGGGAGTTGATGGTTTACACAAAAGGTGTATTTCCCGCTTTTGAAAACACTGGGTATAAGATGAAAGGATAAGACAGGCCCTGAGAACAGACATTGGCCCTAATCGCTGGGACCACTCCAGCTTCCCCCGAGGGAAGCAGAAATGGGTCAACTCCAGACGGCCTCGGAGGAAGCCGCTGTGGGCGAGCCAGGGCCCCTGCAGCTGTGTGGCCGCAAACCTGCCCAGAACGTCCCTGTGTGTTGGAGTTGGAGGTGTGTGACACGTTTGAGTATTGTTTTTTATTTCAGGTTTGAATTAGTTTGACAAATGTTTTGATGACATTTCAGCACGTAGCTGTGGATCTCCTGAGCGCCCCTCAGAGCCTCAGAGCCCAGCGCGGGAGCACAGCGCTTGCATGGACGTTCCTCTGTGGCATCTCCTAGGACGTGGGCTGCCACGTGCACAGCGGTGCACATGTGGGGGCCTCTGTCCCCACTGGCCTGGATCATGTCCCTCCCTCTCCTGCCCGACCCTACAGTCCCAGAGCGATGATTTCACGAATGATTGATTGCCTTCCAGAACCCCTGTTAAAAACCCCACAGTCACAAGAGAGGCTAGGAGGACATTTCAGAGACTCCCTTGGCCCCTTCCACTAGCACACAGTGTGAGTTCTTAGGGCAATCACAAGAGGAAAGAACAGGAAGCCTGGCAAGAGACTGGCTATGCAAACGGAGAATGACCAGCCCGTATATAAAATAGCACAATGTCCAGCCTGTATCTAAAATAGAGCTCTGGCCCCACACTGCAGCACCAGCCCGGGGAGCCAAGGCACCTCTGCAGCCATCAGCCCAGACGGCCAGGACTTGGTCAACATCTGCCAGCTTCCCTCATTTCTGCCCCGACTTCCAGCTTAGGACCAGCTGGGGAAAGTTAAATACGCTCCCCTAACCAGTCACACAGGAGCCCAGCTTCCCTGGCCCACAGCCTCCGTCAGGCACAGCTGAGTCCCCCTCTTCCCACTGCGGAGCTGTCCCGTCCTCTGCCTGCCTTTGAGTTCCTGCCATCACCAAGGCGATGGTGATGGTGGCCGACCCATCAACCTCTGAATCAGCAGACTCTGCTTATTCTCATTTAGGTAGTGTGTTAGTCAGCTCCAGCTGCCATAATAAATACCATAGATGGGGTGGCTTAAACAACAGGAATTTATTTCTCACGGTTCTGGAAGCTGGAGTCCAAGTCAAGGAGCCAACTGATTTGGTTCCTGGTGAGAACCTGCTTCCCGGTTTGCAGACGGCCACCCTCTCACTATGTCCTCACCCAACAGAGAGAGACAGAGACAGACAGAGACAGAGCTCTGTGTCTCCTCTTATAAGGGCACTAATCCCATCATGGGGCCCCACCCTCACGACCTCATCTAACCCTAATCACCTCCCAAAGGCCCACGTCCAAATAGCACCACATTGAGGAGTTAGAGCTTCAACATATGAACTTGGGGACACAGACATTTGGTGCATAACAGGTGGTCTTTATCTTCGTGCTGGCACTCCAGAGGGAAAATACATGTTTTTGAGAAGACTTGCTGAGGGGCAGGTGGGGACCCTGGGGGTAGGGAGAAGGGAGGGAGGGTAAGGGAAGGGACCCAGTACCTCAGGAAGGCTTCCCAGAGGGTCTGGATGGGCAGCTGGTCCTGAAAGGCCTGAGTTCCCTGCAGCAAACCACAAGCTCTAAAAGGGCCATTCACCATGTGATCCCCCTGTCGCCCTACACAGGGCATCTAAAGCCAGAGAAAGCATGGGAGCTGCCCAAAATCCCACAGGAAGGCAGCCCCAGCCCTGTGTCCCTTCCTTTTCATCGTGCTGTTTTCTTTCATGACAGGCTCTGAGGCCCAGGCCTCGGGCCTCCCAGGTCTAGCCTGTGCCTCTGGGGCTCCCCTCCTCCTCAGCATTGGTGAAGCCAGGCTGGTAGAAATGGGCATGAAGGTCTAGGTTCTGAGCAAATGACACGTCTGTGGAAGCTCTGATTCCTGTTCAGTCAGGCCTCTTTGCTAGGAAATCTCTTACTGCGTCGGCTTTCCAGCATCAGATGAAGCAGTAGAATTGTGTCTTCTTGTTTCCCAGACTGGGATCTGAAGTGACCACAAGTATAGGGAATGACATATGGAAACAGTCGCCCCGAATCAGTCACACTCTCTGGATTCACAGCCCACAAACTTTGTCAGAATCCATTGTGGCATCTTGTACAACAGACCCCGGAGCCCCAGGACGATGACGTGCATATACGTGCACCGTTGAGAAGCACCACGCTGATTACATGGCTCTGTCTGAGCTCATCTTCTCCTCCCGCCCCACAGACCCTGGGCAGATGTCCCTAAGGCACAGGCTTTTTGCCCCCAAATGTTCAGAATCCTGGAGGACTATTTCTGATTACAAAAACAGGCCCCTGGGCAGGCAGCGTCTCAGACCAGAACAGAGAAGGGTCTGTCCCACTCACCAGGTTCCGCCGGGGCTCAGGCTCTGACAGGGCCTCCCACTGGTCTTGCCACCCCAGTCCCTCCCTTCAACTTCCATTACCTCTAGATGCCAGGGTCACTCAGGATGAAAAAGCTGCCTATTTCTCAGAGGCTTCCTGCCTTCTACGGGCCAACGTCCAAACTCCCTAAAAGGAACTTGTACCACCTGCAGTTCGGGGGCCCCGACTCATCATCGCAAACTTACCTCCCGTCATTGACCTACAGCTCATCTTCTCAAGTGGCACCACACCCCTCACCCTGCAGACCCCACATGTGCCTGCTGCTCCCCAACATGTGTAGATGCCTTTACCAATTCTTTCCCATTTATAACAGCATTTACCAGCCCCTCTGACACCTTGGGTGGGTCTCTCTCTTTGGGGGGCTGTCCTGTGCCTTGTACAGTGCTCAGCAGCTCACTGCCCTCTATTACCAGATGCCAGTAGCACCTCCCCCCAGTCATGACAATCAAAAATGTCTCCAGACATTGTCACATGCCCCTTGGGGACAAGATCGCCCCGGTTGAGAGTCAGATCTGACTGTGTAGCTGCTGTGCCATGTTCAATGCCCATCACAGCCCCGCACCTGCCCGACCCTGCGAGTGAGCATCTCCTTGGATCTCACACCCTAGGCGCCTTGTCTCATCTTAGTCCCAGCCTCGCTCCACAGGCCTTCCCTGCTTCAACGCAAGAGGACGTTGAGAGCATCACACCCATAGAGTGTTTATTTTGATTCAATAAATGTCCATTCACTAGATTTGAAACCTTGTGAGGGCTGTTTCTGCTGGTATCCCTGCCCTGTGCTGTCCCTCC